TTCCATCTTGAAGTGAGTCACTAGCACGTACGTGATCATTTTCAATATAAGGATATGTAGAGATTATAGTATTTTTAAAGTCGAATTCATGAGTTGATCTATAAATTAGATAATCGAGAGGATGGAATTCTGAGTAAAACAACTCATTCAATATTTCAGCAGTATTGTTTAGATGTTAAATACGATATTGTAAAGTATCTGGAAATATTTTCGTATCCACGACTTCTATTGTACTTATGTTACTTTTTGTAACACGATATATAAAGCGATAGAAGTGAGTGGAATAGATAGTCTGTATTTAATAAAATAACACACTCCAGTTGGTTACGAAATTTCAGATGTCTATCCACAACCATATTCATAATAGTTTTTCAAAATTCACTCAACAAATACACTTCATTGTGTTATGCAACGCAGCATAATCCCTTCACAATAGTTCAAGTACAAATCATAGGGAACAGTAATGCTTGACACTTATGGTAAACATTAAGAAATAAGTCTACTTCAAGTTGTATATTTTACTTAATGATCAATATCAGAGAGTCAAAAATAATCGATTCTATCCATTTTCTCATTTCATCATTTTGACATTAACACCGTTTGATGACGGCTCAGTGGTCTATAGGTTAAGCGTTCATGTGTGGGACTGAAGATCATTGGTTTGAGTCTCGTATAAGGGATCATGGGTGCGCAATTCTGAGGAGTCTCCTGCTAGGATGAAAAACGGTCGTTTATTGCTTTCGGGTTGTCGACGGTTGTCTAGCTTAGATTGACTCATGAATTCAACTACTTAAATTACTACAGTCTGCACAAATCCCCGTTTTTGTAATTTTTTAAGTATTAACAATCGAAAGCTTTAAAAATAAAACATGATTTTCCACCATCTTGAATATACTTCAAAAGTCTAACTCAATATATACCTTTCATAATCATTGGAATAATTTGTATGTATCTCTATCTACTACTAAAACAAAATGAGTAGCTAATTCTTTAAACTGTGCATATAATAACGTCAAAAAAACTCCAATTAGCAGAAAACTAATTATAGTGACTAAATGTAGAAGTTGACTGTGAAATAATCTGGGATTAAAACGTTTTTCGTCATTAAGCAGTGATCGCTGAAGAATTAATGAAAATCAAAAGTAATGGATAAATGTTTTATCTCATTTCTATAGTACATCTTTTAATCCCGTTTAAAGTTGTGGGTCAGCACCCGGATAGCTCAGTGGTAACGTCTCTGATTGTGAAGCTGAGTAACACAGGGTGGAATCCGTCGGGGAGCACCAGTTCCCTCAAGATTACAGGTACACCTTGATGACGAGTGCCGTGTAGGACGAAACCCGAGTGCAGGGTTTCTTGTCGACTACCTCCAACCACCATCTAATCTGAACATAGTGCACACAGTGACGGGTCACCTAGATTGGTGGCCACATTGCAACTTGGTCGACAGCATTCGATCTGCACTAATAAGGACTTGACACACATGACATTGATCACCACCCAGTGATCAATCAATTGTGATTTACGAAGTGTCTTAAATGAAGACTAAACATATACTCAGTACATACTAGTTTCAAATTATTGACTAGATGTGATTAGGATTTAATGTAAACTATAGTTAAACTATAGAAGTCTCTTTACGAAACATTCTTGAATGTTTTATATTCTAAAGCATAGATCTTTATATCAGATTAATGAACTTAAAAAAGATGATTGAAACTACAACAGTAATGATAGTAATGATAGAATTAAAAATAATAATAGTTTCCATTATCTAAATTATATATTTACTAGAAAAACTTCAGGTTTTACAAATTCTTGTATCAAAACATTATAAGGATTGAGATAGATTCAAGCTAATTATCATGAATTGCACCGAGGCCCTTCAGCACCTCTCCAACAATTAAGTTTGTTTACGTTCAATTTCGTCGGGTTCTTTTACTAACTTATTTAACAGAGTGTTATTCAAACTGTAATAATTTGTCTATTTCTTTGTACTAATATTATTACTATCATGTTTGTATAAATATATATACTTGGTCAAATGTGACAGCTTAACCATATATATCTCTCTCTAGTGTAAATGCTATTCGCTTATACATTACTGGATGAATCATTTGCTTTCCCATATCCGTATGCTACACTCATATGATTTTGAGATATACATATATTCGACTCTGCATTCGCTTACTCAGGTATATTAGCCTTTCTTTCCAAATTCATTTGGTGTACTTGTAATTTTGCTATATATGCTATCTAATAAAATATATTATAGTCGGCGCTTTATGTTACCTTCTGAATTTATACACCGTTGAAATTTATTTGATAACGGTTAATAAAGTGATTGATCAATGAATCTTAATGAATTGTTTCGAAGCCAAGTCATTACAGCCCTAATTCATGTCATACCATTTTATAATATCATTTACATGAATTTTATATTAATAAGAGTGATTTATACACTTATTTTAAGACCGTTCTTCTTAAATCTTAATTTCCTATGATAAAAACTTATACAAATGGAAAATTATTAATTTCACAATCAAATCTACCTCGATAGGTTCTTCTTGGACCATTTTGTTCATCATGTTGGTAAGAAAATTCTTTGGATTTCGCTGTAATAAATAATGGTTATTTAAAATTAATCAATTTGACATGATTTTTTAAAATATTAAATACTGAACATTGAACATTTTAAAATTTTTTTCGGTAAGACTATAATTTATGGATGAACCAATCAGATTTGGGATAACAGGTCTTGGATTTTGGCGCGAAATTCATTCATACATTTAGCTAAATAGAGTTTTGCCATTATAGCTAATGTCAGTTCGTGATGAAATTCCTAAATCTAATTCCTAATCTTTACTATGAACTGTAAATCATAATTCTGATTCCTCAAACAGGTTTATAATCCTCATTTGGTGCTAGTTATTAGGTGGATACTCTCAAGGTCAATCCAGAGTCCCTCAAACGTCGTCCATCTTTTTTCTTATATTCATGTACAATGTTAAACAAATATAAAGTGTTTAATCAAACATATTTATTATAAAAATTGAATTCATGAGTCAGTTGAAGCTAGACCACCATGGAAAAGCTGGAAACGCTAGAGTGCCGTTTTATCCTAGCATGGAACTCGTCGTGGATGTACACTCATGAGAAGTCTCATACTAGGACGAGATGACCGTCTAATGCTTCCAGCTTTTCCATGGCAGTTTAGCTTTAATTGACTTATAAATTTTAATACTAAATGAAGTGTTTAATCGATGTTATTTAATCCATCACTAATTTTAGTTATAAACACATTTCATTTTGTAAAAATTCTAAGATGATGACATTTAATATTTCAATCAGAACACTTTTGTGATTCTTTTGAAGTAAGATCTTGCACTAAACCTTCAATCATTAACGTTTTTTTTTTTGTTTTGTTTTGTAAATAATGTACCATCAATTAAAACAAAACAAGAAAAAAAAATAAATTTCTCATTGTGCTAATAAACCTAAATTGAAAACACTTTTTTTTTCTTGAATCAGAATTTTTGTTTAATCATTTAAAACTGATTTATGAAAACATTTTAAGTGAATACTTTACATATTTATATGTTTTCTAAGAGAGAAGGTGGAGTATTCTATCAATCTTGTAAGACGTTTGGAGTAACCATGATAGTGTTTCTTTTTCTTAGTGAATAAATGAAACATAGTATGAAGAATCGGTAGATAAGAAAGCTAACAAATTGTATGTCTTCTTCTAAATTTTATAACCGCTGTTTTACTTTTTTTTTTTAGAAATTAATGAATTTTTAGTAGACGGAACTACATAAGAGATTTGTTTCATTTTGACTCGTTGCTATGGTGATAAAAATTTGATACTCTATACTTGATTAACTGTTCTTCGTTTATTCAAGATATTTTTGTTACGTTCATATGCCCGATTAATTATATCACGTGATACAACCACCATTTACAGACATCGACTTATACGATCAGATTAATCACTCATGAATCTATACGAGCAGCCTAGAATTCTTATTGATCTAGAGAGATAATAGCTTCTCACCAAATCCAAACGGTTGAGTTCAGGATGCCAATATCAGCTCCCGCGACACGAATCATATATTTCAGACATACTGGGTTTATATACAAACAAACCAGACCGCATCATATTATAAAATAGAAAATAAAAATTATACAAGATCAAGCTAAAATATGGCTGTGATTGTGGTAGACCATTACTAATAAACTGGGAATATCTCAAGAATAGTAAATCGTACGATAACAGTTATTTAATAGCCATACAATCAGAATATTCGTATAATATTAGCGCATATGTAATTCCTAACGGTTACCATTCACTTATTGTCTTCCGGATATAGTAAGTTTGATTACTAAAAGTAATCATATTGTAGACAGTTTCAAATTTGTTAGGTAATGGTCATTATTATTATTTACACTTTACTATAAAATCTTGAAATTACTATTTTGAAAATAATTACTTCGGTACTGTAGTAAACTTTAACTCTCACTTCTTCTGAATGATTTCAGTGTCATCTGTCTGTACTGCAATTAATAGTCACTAACTAATCTTGTAATTTCTAAGGATCACTTACGAGTTGACTGTCCATGGATAGGTCGAGGTACATTTTCTTGAAATTCACCATATACATTCCCAGCTGGTTCATAACGTCCTACTACAAAGACATGATGTCCATCATTTGAATATTGAATGCCAAATCCTGCTTTTGATGTATTCTTCCAAATAACCTGCGTAAAATGACCTGATATTAGTGAGAAGAAGTAAAATAATCATTATGTGCATTTCTTTAATAAAAGTTTAACGAATTTAGTTAATTATTAGTTTTATAATTTGTTTCATATGGTTATAACTAGAATTTTTTAAAATTTATCATTATGAACAGTTAGATTATTCGTTTTCATTTACTTCCTTAATCTTAAGTTTTTGTTTGATTTATGGACAGTTACTATATTTTATTCTAATCCAATAGTAATGTAACCATGAGCTTGATACAACTGAGGAACATCTGGAACTCAAAGCAACTGTCAACCAACACCAAGGTCAGGATTTTCAATACAAATGCCAAGACAGTTCTACTGTATGGGGCAGAAATTTGGAGAACTACGAAAGCCATCATCCAGAAAATACAGGTGTTTATTAACAGTTGTTCACGCCAAATACTTCGGATCCGTTGGCCGGACACAATTAGCAACAACCAACTGTGGGAAAGAACAAACCAGATCCCAGTGGAGGAAGAAATCAGGAAGAAGCGCTGGAAGTGGATAGGACACACATTGAGGAAAGCACCCGACTGCGTCACAAGGCAAGCCCTCACATGGAATCTTCAAGGCCAAAGGAAAAGAGGAAGACCAAAGAACATATTACGCCGGGAAATGGAAATAGACATGAGAAAAATGGACAAGAATTGGATGGAACTAGAAAAGAAGGCCCAGGACAGAGTGGGTTGGAGAATGCTGGTCGGCGGCCTATGCTCCATTGGGAGTAACAGACATAAGTAAGTAAGTAAATGCTAATTTTGGCACACATGGTATTTCTTATTTTGTTGTGTGGTCAGTAGATCTATGTATTCATATATGTAACTTTTGCGTTAGCATCCATCGTCATCTGATTAGGATTATATAGATTTCGACTAAAGTTATGTTTCAGAAGGTGAATAAGATTGAAGAAAAGAGAAAGAGAACAGTGTATAAATAAAGGGATATTGAAGTCTGAGACAGTTGGTTGACATTTTGCAAATGAACTATTTTTTGTATAGTTCTCAGATTTTACTATGATATCCTGTATTTCTTCATTCAAATATACTGGGCTGTCCTCACTTGTGTTCTCGTTCGCTATATAACCAATTTGAGAAAAGATGGCTTATGATATTTGATGAACATATAAAGCCAAGCTGGTCAAACTAATTTGTTTAAAAGGTTATTTATTAAATTAGAAAATTCATTGAAAATAACATATCTATGAAATAATGTAAACAAGTTTTCTATGGTGATCTAGCTTCAATTGACTCATGATCTCAACCATTGAAAGTAAATAAGTTAGTTTACGGAATGTTTGTGTTTTTTCGTTTGAATCATTATTCTAAAAATGTAAGTTTTCAACTATACAATAATACTTTTGATGTTTTATTACATTTGTGGTTGACCTTGAACAAGTCAATGACCATGTGAGACACATAGATCGCTTATGATACGATGATATTAGGAATCAATTAATGATCAAATGAATTCATTGACATTTATTAAGTCATTAGAAGGCAAAAGGCTTTATTTAGGAAATTAAATTTAAGCCAGTTACAGATAAGAGAAGAATAAATTCATTAGATCTAAGTTAATAAACCAATTCATAAAACAAATAAGGTTCAGTGCACGAAATTTGTTAAAACTTTGGAACTGTCAGTTTGGCGTAAATAGTTAGAAACAAATGTTATCTTAACCATAAGGATTTCGTGATCATCGTTAAACTTTATAATTCGCATCACTAGTTGGTTTCGACTAGACAACTGAGAAGCACTGAACAAGTCTTTTGGTCTTGTATGGGATCTTTCTGTAAGGAATATTTAGCTCTCCCCCCCCCGTAAATCGAACTTTGGATGTTCAGATTTAAAGGTAGAGACTGACAAATGGTCAACGGATCGTCATTCAATCGTTTTAATGTCTAAGTTCAATCAATTCGTGATATAATCCAACCATCTTTTATTCTCTTTTAATGCATCACAGTCACCATATTCGAACTTTACTAGTCAAGATTTTTTATAAGAACCCTGAGAATTTACTCCTCATGTCAGTCATTATTAAATTATTGAAGGGTGGTTAACCAATGAATTTTGAAAGCTTTTGACAATTTCCTAATCAATGTGCTTACGTTCGTTGGTCAGTCCTATAAATTTTCGACACATATTTCTTAAATAATCAATATCTGTCGGCAATCCGTTAAACAGATTCTTGTTTTTTCAGTTGAGTTTCGTTTTTTGAGCAGGATCGTTTAATCATGATGTCTTTATTGTTCTTCTGAACAAACTTATCAACGCGAATTTCTGGTTGCTGCGATCGATTCCAATTTCTTCACAGATGACTGACAGCTAGTCCTTCTGACCAGTCATATATGGACAGATTTGAATAGATCATTCCTACCTGAATTCGAGTTGACGTTTATCCTCTAGGACGCTGACCCGACATCTAATGGTGTCGGTTGACAGTGTTGCTCGAGAATCTCCCATTGCCATTTGTGGACAACTGTATCACAACTGACCTGGTTGAACTCTCTTAATCATGGCCTCTCACTATAAACTTCTGTAATTACCTATTGACGTTAGCCATTAGTGAGCACTTGTATATTGTTAGTAGTATGGAAGTTTTGTGGAAATCGTTAAATTTCCAAGTTTTAAACCACGGATTGCTGTTAGTTTGCTTAACACTGATAAACATAAAACATTGGTTGTCACATATGATTATTTTTACCTGTTTCACTTTGAAACTGTTTATCAAAATTGTGATCATGAATTTCATTGTACCAGTTTTGTGTTGCTCGAGCCCCTATAAAACAAAACAAAATTGATTTTTAACATTACAGATTGGTTAGGTATGAATAAGTCAAGAGATATTACTCTAACACCGAGATAACTTTATTGAATTAATTATTCAAAGAAACGAATTTGGATTATATTTTCCAACCAAGAAAATGATGTAACAATTTTATGGTTTATGTTCATATTTCGTTTCATTTCATTTCAAAACACCCATTGAAATGATATATAAACGTTCACAGAAATAGAAACATCTCTATAATTCCTGGTATTTATGTAAAGCCTTTGTTTCCAACATGTATTTTATATTGATCAATTTTGTTTATGGAAGAGTTTGACTTTATTGTTAGACAATTTGATAAAACTCATGCAATTAGCAAAAACTAAACCATGTAACATATAGATTGAATAAGGTTCAAAGATTGGAATTCATTTGTTATACATTAGATTTGATAATGAATAGTTTTATTATAGTATTTTTCTTATCTCATAAGTGTAATTGAGGTACTGGGATTTCTGGTTAGGTTTTGGTACATTCTATTAAAGAACAACTGGAGATTATTGTCATACAACGTAAAGTATGGGAACTCAAATAAACCGGACATGACAACACTCCAATCTTAATAATTTACACATTAATAGATAAGAAATTTATATTTTGTACAGATATAAAGTTCGTAAAGGAACAACTCGATTTTTGTATTAGCAGTGTGTATAAGAAAGTTAACAAACTGAAAACGATGACAATTAAACAGGTATTAGCCAATGTTATTACGGAAAACTGAATTATGGAAATGTCATCGAAATAATTCTCTAAAGAAAGAAATATTATGTGCGAACAAAAAATGAGATAACCCGATTTCTTCTTAATAGCGTAGATTCTACATCCTATATAAAATTCAATTCTCAAATTACTATAATATCTACAAAACGTTTTCTGATACTAATCAATATATGCTCACTAGTGAGGGTCTCCAAAAGGTTTTTCCTGGAGTTCTAGTGAGATGTCGTGACCAGTTGTGTTTAACCGGGTCTGTTGTGAGATAGTAACTCACTGAAGACAATGGTTGACGGTCGCGCGATTTCGTAGGTTGGTTGAAATTAGACATTAATACCGTTGGATGCCGGCTCACTGGTCTAAAGGTTAAGCGTTCGCGCACGAGACCGACGGTCCTGTGTTCGAATCTCATGAAGCAGAGTCTTGGATGAGCACTGTTGACGAGTCCCATCTAGTGCTTTCAGGTTTCCATGGTGTTATAGCTTCAATTGACTCATGAAATCAACTATTAAATTACTATAATATCCACAAAACCCCTCTTTGTTATATATTTGTTCCTGAAATAATATCATCATTTGATGAAAGAAATTTTCTACTTTAAAAAGATTCTAGTCATTCGTCTGCAAACAATTATATCATACTCTAGTCATTAATTCCTATAAGGTTTATCCAGTTTAAGATTACTATACTTTTCAAATATTTATCTATCAGTATCGACACAGAAAAGTACCAATTAATTTTTTATAAAAATAATAACGACGCTTTTAGGCCTTCAAATGACAAAATGTCAAAGAAATCAGACAGTTATTAAAGGAGAGTAGTGTTATGACCTTTTGTAAGCCTGATTATCAGTTTAACTCACCCATATCGTCAGTGGGATGGATAACCTTCGACTTACCAATTGAAATATCAACCAATGAACAACAAAAAGTCCTCAATGCTTATTGATCCTCAAGTTGTTTCTAACCTGAGGTCCAATCAAAATTCAGTGATAGATATCAATTCAATTCCCTATTGTTCTACACTCTATCATAACTCAAAACTCGTGCAATAATAAACCTGATATTTCTGACTTCAGAAAAGCACAAATTACTATGTGTACTCTAATTGGTCAGAAGTAATATCAATCATGGTAGTAGAGTTACAGAGACTAAAAAGTATAGCCAAATAAGAAAATCAATCTTAAATTTCGTAGATATAAGGTGATTAGAACAAAACAGTTTTAATCAACCTCCAACACACTGAAGAACCCGTAAACTATTGTGCAATAAAATAAAAGTTTAAACGAAGACAGTGAATCATAAGGGAAAACTAGTTATTGATCTGCGGATAAAATTTTTAAAAAGCATTATTAGAAAGCCCAAATATTGAACACTTTTATATTTTAAGATGAAATACAGTCACGTAAGGTGACTGCCTCGACATTTATCTCGATTACTACTAATTTCAGTTGCCGTTAGCATAAGTTAATTTTCATCAGATCATTACCATTAAAACAAAGTCAATATTGAGTAATTGTCTAAACTTTCTAATTGTCAAGATTCACATATATTAAAGTTTAACTTAACAAGATATAGATACCACTAACCGATTGTCCTTACTCCATTGACGAATACGATCGATTTCATCTAATATTAGCTAACATTTAATTTTTAAACACATTTTTGTGGTATTTCAACGCTATTCATTTGAAGTAATAGAAACAATGCGTCTTACAGAATAATAACTCAACTAGTACGGCAATGGTAAAACATTAGTTTCTTTCTTACCAAGTAGTATAAATCACTTAAAATATAAATGTCAGTATGGGGCTCCGAAAATTGTTGGATTTCATTAAAATCACGAATCAATCCGTTAGACAAACATTAGAAATCTGGAAACACTGCGTGGCCGTTTCATCCTAGTATGGAATTACTCATCAGGGCTAATAATAGTCTAAGGGCTAGATTGTTTGCATGTGAGATCAAAGGTTCTGTTTTCTATTTCCGGTTACAAGGTCATGGATAAGCACTGCTAAGTAGTTTCATACTAGTATGAAACAGTCATCTTATACTTCTAGGTTTACAATAATTGTCTAACTTCTATAGACTCATGAGTTCGATAAATTATAAATATCCATAGAAACCAACGGTTTAAATAATTCAAACTAAGCTTTTTTTTTCTAGCATCATTTTCATTAAACAACATGAAGAACTCATTGTGTTTTACAACCTATCTTTTAAAAGAAATCTAGCCAGTATATCGAAATAAAATATTGTATTTATTTCAAATTTTTTAGACTCTGGAATAACCTACCACAATCTATCCGTACGATAAAATCACTCCCATTATTTGTTCGCTGCATCGATGCATACTGCTCCTTTGAAAATGCATTGAATGTTCTAGCATCTGTAAGTGTATCTCATTCCACAAGTGATATTATAGGAACTTTAAATGTTTAGCTATCTTTATTAGTGCATTCCCTAAGTAAAACCACCTACTTGCTGTCACTTTATGGTAACCCCGTCCCTAGCAAGTTTAACTAATTTGAATAACATGAACAGTATATCATTGTGTCACATAAGACACGCATTTACGTAGACCTGGTTGATATATTTTGGTAATCACTACTTTATCAGAATGGGTTTTGTGGAGATTTTTAGAAATTTCACAAGTTAAAATCATGAGCCAATTGAAGCTAGACCACCATGGAAAACCTGGAAGCACTGGACGACCGTTTCGTCCTAGTATGGGACTCCTCAGCAGTGCGCATCCACGAACCCGCCCCCCGCGGGATTCGGACCCAGGACCTACTGGCTTCATGCGCGAGCACTTAACCATTAGACCACTGAGCCAGCATCCAACGGTGTTAATGTCTAACTTCAACCAATCCACGAAGTTGCGCCACCATATACCATTGTCTTCAGTGAGCTGATATCTCACAACAGACCTGGTTGTACTCCACTGGTAACGGCTTCCCACTAGAACTCCAGGAGTGTCTCTTGAAGTCAGTCACTAGTGAGCAGATGAGGAGTCCCATACTAGGACGAAACGGCCGTCCAGGGCTTCCAGGTTTTCGATGGTGGTCTAGCTTCAATTGGCTCATGATTTCAACTTGTGAAATTACTACTTTGTTGTTCCGTGCTCTCTGTTTCCGTTTTAATTTCTCTAGTTGTAGATAATTATCATTAATTCGATCTGGCACACGAAATGACCTTAATTACTCCGTTCATAAATCAACAGGCTGTCCATTTAAGAAATATTAAAAATTCCCGGCTGATGCATTGGATCGCTGTAATATATGTACTACTTAAACAACTACTGAACTAGTATACTTAAAACTTTCTTTTATCACATGTTTGTTCTGTACGTCTAACTTTATTATTTATATCAAATTGATCATGCCTGTAAACTGGCATGAATTCTGTAATTATTATTTTCAGAATAAAAATTAATATTATTATCACTATTATTATTTCAATTAAGACTCAGTAAATAAATTAAACGAAACACTATAACCAACCGGTCAATTCCGCTTTCCCAGTAGATTGTGATGTTGCCAAATTTTCACCATATTCATCACATATACTATGTTTCATAATTTTCATACGTGCAAGATTATCAGCCCAAGCTTGTGCTTCTCTAGCAAGTCTTGAATCATATTTCAATGGAGGACATCCATGTAATGCACGTAATCTGAATGTATAAGAGATAAACAATATAGGATTTCTTATTATCATGTAAACAAAGTATATATATACTTTCATTGTAAATAAAAGAGTTCATAAAATTACTTTCTACAATGTAAGCTATTTGAAATTTACATAGATTATATGTTAAGTGATAGACAGTTGTCTATTATTATATGTGAAAATTATATTTGAAATAATCTCAACGATTGAAATTTAAATAATTCCAACGTTTCGTCCATCTAACTTGTCTGGACTTCTTCAGGGTAATAATCAAAATCATCATATAATGACTTCTCTTTACTCGGCGCCCAATTTCTGTCAAACTATTTGTTCTAATCTTGACGAATATTCGTATAAGTTTTCTATTAGTTTCACAGAACTAGATTTGAATAGATTAAATTTTATTGAAGAGAAAAATCAAGATCTTACTTTAGTTAATCAGAAAAGAGACTTGTTGTTCTACACTGAATATACATTGAAGTATTCACAAAGTGACTTTTAAATATATAGTTGTGATAATGTCTATAAGTATTAACTATATTCATTTCATAGAAATTCAATTCATCTACAGAGTTTAATGCTTTGTATTTCATAATACATTAGCTGAAATCAGTCCAATTCATATATGATATACTGTTAAAGTGAATTATTATACAATCCTTATATTCGGTCGGTTTTGTCACTTACAATATTGATGATAACTTTCAAGCACATATAATTAAATATCATTTAAAAAGTTTATGATGAAATGATATTCTTTTATTTATTATTCCGGTGTAAAGATTTATTGACATCATGAATCGACCAAAGTTAGACAACCACTGAGAATCAGGAAGAACTGGAAAAAGAACTGTTTCTTACTAGTATTGGGCTCTTTAACAGTACGCATCTATGACCCAACAACCGGGAGTCCGGCCTAGGACCTTTGGTATTGTGTGCGAACACTTGACCTCTAGACATCTAAGTTGGGATTCACTTGTGCACCAGTCTAAGTTCAATCAATTCGTGACACTGGAGGGGGGGAATCTTCCACTGTCTTCTGTGGGTACCTACCTCGTACCTAACATAATTGGTCCTAATAAAATTCGCCAATCTTCCCAACCCTATGAATACGGTGATAATCAATATCTAGCAAAAAAGTAAGATTTCCATTAAGTCTGTTATCTCAATTATCTAAAGCTATTTATATATTTCTTCCATGAACACACTGAACACTATCAACTTACCAGATGAAAACACCAAATGAAGGGAAAATTAGAGCTTAAGATGAAATTCACAGTGAAACTTATGTTTTTATATGCGGCTCTCACTCATTAATTAAACGAGAGAAAAAAATACTCAGGAATGCTTGCTATCCACACAAACTGAACATTGAGAAGGTATACACTACAAATTCATGGACACTTAACCTATCTGTTAACTAATCAATTTGTTATTCAAACAACGATATTTTCATTAAATAACGACTCGAAATCAATAAAATACTTTAACTTTGAAAGTTTAGTTTATTCCATTTGACAAAATCTTATAAGAAATTAAATTCATTTAATATGATACATACATTTTCATATGTAAAAACACTTTGTTAATTATTTTATATGGATTATGCACAGAATCACTATCATGTTACATTTAAAAAATCAATGAAAGGTTCTCAATGAAAAAGAAAAAAAGAGAGAGATAGAGTAGACAATCTAAAACTGTGGAACATTTAACTCATTTTTGTAATTATATTATCATATTACATTATGCGTAATAAAATACAATTATACCTAACCGTTGTTGCTACCTTGACGCGGTGGTCGCGCTTGCCTATCGTGACAAAGCAACCGAGCTATACTGGCTGAAACAACCGTTCCTCAAGGTCCTACCATGTCAGACAGGTTTGTTGAAGGGCGGTAAGACTAAAACCAACGGACCAAAGGTCCGAAAGCGAAGTCGTACTGTTGACTGTACAGAGGTGTGACAGCAGTAAGGTGCTTCCTTCAGACAGCCGGCATGACAACGATGCTGCCTTCCCACAAGGAGGGGTGGAGTTAGAAAAGGTTGACCCCAAAAATGCACACCTTGTCTTATCCCACGGTTATCCGTCTCCGGTAGAAAACTCTCAACAAGTACGGAGCTAACACAAAAATTACTCATAAAAAGGTCGTGTGTGACCGACCTCAAGCAGTTGTCCCTTGGGCACTACGGTCACGCTCTCAGGTCACTAAGACCACCTCTAATCCAATTTCCTTTTCAGTTACCTCCAGAAGAACCCTTCTGCGGTGTGGGCAACCGCCCTCATAACTCTAACAGCACTCAAGATATGAAATAATCAATCTACTACTGTTACTATGAGCAATACAATCAAACTATGATCAACTTAAAAATTTACAACCACTAATTAAACTTGGAATCTTGTAGTTCATGATTGTCAACATTTTCCTTGTTTTCTTGATATCAGTTTATTTTAAAATAAAATGTAATCTGATATTTAATATGCTTGATGTATTGGAAATTATGACAATCCACACAAAAGACACTAATTATTTTAAATAGAAATACAAGGAAATGATTCTTTTTATATTATTCCGTTAGTCTTTGAACAGTAGTTAAACAGATATAAATAGATTAATATATTTGTTATATCCCAATCAATAGAAAAATTAGATTTTCCGATGTTTCGTGATTTGGTGTAGTCCACTTCTTCAGAGAATAAATAACCAAATCAAATTTAATCCAAGTTTAAATAGTACAGAGGAACAACACAAGAATATATTATGTGCGATTAATCAAAAGAAAAAAACAGAGGTGAACAAATCAATGCCATGTCATTTTGGTCAAGGTGATTCATAAGTGTCATGTATGTAAATTAAATAGAATTATTCATTAAAACAGTATAGAAAAACTAAATAATTTCATTAGACAATGTTGTCAGATCGTAACAAATTAAAGAGAAGCATAAAAAGATTTTACTTAGGATATAATGAACAGTTGTGTTATACATGATTGATACAGTATTTTATAGTATAAATGTGTATCTAATCATCTAATTTAGGATTACTGAGCAGCGATTTCTTCCTACCCTTTGAATCCTCAGCTTTTCAAATTGATATTCTTATATCAGATTGAAATCCGAATATTTAAGTCTCGTGCTTAGTTTAACATCCTTAAACTTTACAGTTGTAATTCGATGTTTGATTGATTAGATTTCATTTAATTAGTGACATAGAATTACAGTCTATCAATTACACCAATGATAATTATCTGACTATCAGTATGAGTAACTCTTCATATAAATACATCTCCATAAATCCTCAAAATCTATCTCAGAAGTGATCATTAGTGCGGGATTGTGGACATACACTACTGAAGAATCTCGTGCTGGAACGATACGGCTATCAAGTGCTTTCAAGTTTTCACTGATGGTCTTACTTAAACTAATTCATGAATTCAACTGTTAAAATACTACAATCTCCATAAATTCTTACTTTGAAAATAAATTTCTATTGATTTGATGATAGCTCCTGTAAATTTGCTTCATATGAACCAAATAGCTGCTATGACTACAAGAGTTTAAAAAGCCATGAATTCAGTTTTGTATTCATTAGAATGCTACAACTATATTATGTCTGTCATGAAGACTTCTATTATTTTAATCAATGAGATCATTTTTAATTCCAAAACCCAACAAATTATGGAAAAAGTTACCTTTATTTAACAGCTATTAAGTATTTGGTCTTTCGTTTTAAACTACCTATAAATAGTTTAATGAATTTAAATTGCGGCTAACAATGGAATAAAAGATTTGCATTTCATCCTACATAGAACGCATCAGATGACTGTATCATTGTATCAGTGTTTATATTTTTATTGAGACTCAAACCTAGTACTTATCTTAATATCAGCATTAAAAATAGAATCCTGGTAAATCAAAATAACAATCATTAAACAGTATAGATCTTACTATTAACCGAACTAC